CTATTCCATTACCACCTATGCATGTTTGTCTCTGTGTGTGTAAGCATCTACCTTCCGTTGGAAAAGCACTCTACACCTCTGTTGCGACAAGGAAAAATGAAGTTATTCCAAGAATACTAAAGAACATCATTTGTCATCGTGGTTGTGATTATCATCGAGGGTTAGCAGAGTGAACTATGAATAGCTTCATAAAAAAGGAACTAACAAATGGAACAACTTGAAGCTGAACACATGGACGAAGTAGAAGAAGCAAAAAATCATTTTGATTACTTAAGCAAAGTAGTTGGGAAAACGATAACAACAATAACAATAACAACGACAAGGTCACCTTGAATCAAGAAAGAAAAACGATTCGAGTGTTATGTTGCAGAGTAAGCATATTTGTCGGTAACAAAGTAGAATGCATCACCTTTTGATGGATAGTTTTTTAAGTAAGTTATTCTTTATAGGAAAATGTTATTAAAAACCTCTGTTTTCTTGTTTATATACTCTGGATGGTGCGAAAATAAAAACTTCCACCATTATATGTTTTTCATATATGATAAAATGTACATATCCAAAATTGGAATGATAAAAAAAGAAATGTTGACCTGATAATACGTGCCGAACTTTTAATACCCTCCACCATTTGGTACAAATTTGACAATTTCCAAAAAAAAAAAAAAAAATCCGTTTAAAATTCTGTTAAAATCTTAAAACTACCGAATGCCTATACGACGACCTAGACCTGCATAGGCAACTTTTTTCATAAGTTATTACAATATTTAACTGCGAATCTTGAAGAAAAATCTGTTTATAATGTAGCTAAAATCATCAAAATACCGAATATAGTGGGTACCGTTATATGGGGGCTATACGAAGGCGTGGACCTGCACAGACAATTTTCTGGCCATTACGAACTTCACATGCGAAATTTGAAACAATCCCGGTAAATAATGTTGCTAAAATCATCAAAATACCGAATATCGGGGGCCCACATGGCCCGTTTTCTGTTTTATGCGGAAGTATCTAAATACCAAATTTGGAACGATTCCGTTAAATAATGTCGCTAAAATCATCAAAATACCGAATATTGGGGGGTACCGTTATTTCGGGGCTATATGAAGACCTGGACCTACATGGCTCCATAGTATAGTGGAGGGTATAAAAAATAATTCTTGTAAGTTTCTGGAGATATTTATTATCTAATCGAGTAAATTATTTCCGATATAAGATTCCGTTTTTCTCTGTTATACAGGATGATTGCTGCCATTAAGAAATTGTAAAATAAGTAATGTGGGATGTACACTAGATGAGCTTTGGACACGCCGTCATTCTCAAGTATGCGGAGAACATAGGAAATCAGGCTATAGCCAATATATCATCTAGGCAAAACTTTGAATTATTTGATATCCATATACCTATCAGAGTCGTCTGGACCCGCAACATTCCACCTTTTAACGATATAGCTGTCTATGCTGATGGGTCAAAAATGGAAAGTGGAACGGAATCTGGGGTCTTCTGTGAAAGCCAAAGTATGCGAAAATCCTTCAAACTAAACAACGACTGCAGCGTTTTTCAGGCAGAAATTTTTGCTGTCAGGAAGTCCATAGAGGTACTGGCAAACAGAATCAATGAGCTGGATGGACCGGTGACTATATATATCGATAGTCAAGCGGCCGTAAAGGCTCTAAATTCTTTTACAATAAAATCTATGGCACTTCTGGATTGCAGGAAAGGTTAAGTTGTTTGTCAAACTCTGTTGGGTCCCTGGACACTGACATCTGGCAATGAATCGACCTGTGAATTGGCCAGACGCTGATCTCAGTCAATAGATCTTGAGATTGAGAGCTCAGTGAAAGGCACCTTTACGCCACTTCTTCCAAATGCTGCATAAACATTATCTTGGGATATTACAACAGAACTGGATAACTGAAAGGGGATGTAATGTGTCTAAAAAGATTTGGCCGGTGAACTCCGAAAGGAGATCAAGGTCATCCATATCCATGACGAAGTCGGACTTGAAGCTTGTGGTGGGCCCATAGGGCACTGTAACATAAGGACCATGACTGGCAAATGGAAGGGGGGGGGGGTGACGATACTGAATACTGCACACTTTGTCAGGATGTGCAGGAAACTGAGACGGTGGAGCACTTACTCTGCCAGTGTCCAAATCGTATCGGAATGAGACAGAGGCTACTGGGTAAGCAAATTCTTCCGACTTGTCCTCCCTCTCCGAAACCGAGCCAGCCACCATTCTTCAGTTAGCCAGAAGACTAAAATGGCTTAGTACGACACGCTGATTACACCGTGGATACAAATTCTCTACGTAAAAAAAAATAAATTATATTTTTTTTACGTAGAGAATCTTGACTATTAAAAATGATTCTGAATTAATGTGCAAGTATGTTTCTCCTACAAATAATACAAATATCTGAAATGACAAACGATGGTGGTTTGTTCGGTTTTGCCGACAGATGTATACCCTCAGCCAATGTCCGATTATTTAAAAATATTTTGACTTTTGTTATGATTATTCAAATGTTTAACCCCTTATGCAGTTAGTTCCGAAGGAATTGGCTAATATTGGCCATTTTGTATCGGAACTAAATATATATGATATAAATATTCCGACGTGCTAGGTTTGGACTGTGTTGTGTTAATGGAAATTTTGGGATATACCAAGTCTTGAATGGAATCGCATGTTAATTTCGCTTTTTATTAGCTTCATGGATATTCACAATTTTGAGCCTTTGTAGGGGAGGTACTAGAAGGAGTAGACCGATATTTCCCATCTTCACAACGGATCTTTTGTTAGTGGAAATAATGGGATGTGTGAACCTGGTACTTATTTCGGATTTAATAAACGTTTTGGTTATTCAAAACTTTGACCCTTTGTGGGGAAGGTAGCAATAGGAATTGTCCCATATTTGACAAAAATATTACGATGTACCAACTTTGAATCAAATCGGATACACCCTTCGAGAGTTATGGCACCAGCCAAACAGACGGACGGACATCGCTAGATAATATCCTGAAACGGATTTGGTCCAAAGAGACCTAGGGTCTAAAACCGTTATTTCGGTGAAGCACGTTTTGACCGTATCAAATGATATATACCCTCTGTAGCCATATGGCTGAGGGTATAATAAAAGATAGGTGCATCTGCGTTTTGAAAGTTTACGTTGCAAATTACCAAAAAGAGGGGCCCAGCTCCCCAACTTTCACATTTTTTTAATATGCAGATTAAGACTTATTGGAGTCCTTTAATTTTTGATATTAAGTGTCCTTTTATAACGATTTTCCTGACTTTAGTAAGAATATATAAAATTGGAGTTTTATTTTCTATTTATTATACCCCTTACCTTTGGCACAACAATTTGTATTGTGCCTAGGACGGTTGGTATTGAAAATGATATCGGCCCACATTTTGTAATAGCCGCCATATAATGGTACCTCCCAATATTCGGTACTTTGACGATTTTCGCCACATTTTTTCACGGATTTGTCTAAAAACTGATACTTTAAGTCATATTGGGTTCTAGCTCCGGGGGCCGTATTTTGAAATAGCCGCTTTAATGATTTTCGCCACATTTGTCATGGATTTGTCCAAAAATTGGTATTTTGTATTTCATAATTAATTCTAGTTCCGGTGACGAAAAATTGTATGTATATGTCCACGTTTTTGTATAGCCCCATATAACGGTACCTCCCGATATTCGGTATTTCGATGATTATTGCCACATTTCTCCACAGTTTTGTCTATAAATTGGTATTTGTAGATCATAATGACTTTAAGCTCCGGAGGCAGAATATTAAAAAAATTGGTCCACCTTTTCTTATTGCACCCATATAACGATACCCACCGATACTCGGTATTTTGATAAACCCACGAAATTGTTTCAAATTTTGTATTTAAGAAGATTTGGTAGATGACAATCGTTGAAGTATAAAATTGTCAATGGAGGTTTTTTTACTTCTTCTATTTTTATTTAGATTTATATGAAAATTTTGCTATAACGAATATTTTTTTCCTTGACCTCACCAGTAATGCTTTGTAGCAGAATTTTGCATACATATTTATGCATTTTTGGTGTTTAGGTAGACTTTTTATGTATTTCGAGACCTGTAGTAAATTTTACTACCATATTTCCATATTTTATAATAAGGATCTCTTTGGTAACTCGCCTTGACCTTGGCACAGAATTATTGACCTAAACTGCAAAGATTCCAAAAATCTCAATACCAAATTTGGAAACATTCCGTAGAAAAAAAATTACTAAAATCAATAAAATACCAAATATAGGGGCTATAGAAGCGTGTACCGATATATCGGGGCTATACGAAAACGTTGACCTACATTAACCATTTACGAACTTAACCTGCCTACTGGTAAACTATGCATGTATGCAGTTTTTTTCTCAATTCGTTCGAAATATAGCGTGATTACGACAGACAGAATTTTACGCTGGCGCAGAATATATATACTTTGAATATTTCGAGCAATTACAAACGGAATTTTTAACAGAGGTCAATATTTTTTCGCCCTGAGAGGATTATTTTAACCTTTTATAAATATTTGTTTTTTTTATAAATATAAGTAGAATCCAATTACTAAAAAAGTTGAGAAGTTATAATCGGTTGAGGCATTTTTGTCTATGATGGTTACCTACCTTTAACGAAGTAGTATTTAACAACTTGAAGGAAATCATAAAATATATTTTGGTTTTGAAATCTGGTTATCTGTATAAGAGATTTCTGGATTTTTAAAATATAATATACAAGCGAATGGACCAGTTTATGATCAGTAAACATATTAGGGACCAATGCAAAACCATTGTCTAAAATATACCATATTTTATCGAAGATATGCGATGCCTTTCTAACAATTTGGTCGCGTTTCATACCAGTTTCACTATTGTTAAGAATATTTTGGCATCCCGATAATTGCGAAATAAAATCGAAATTTCTTCCACAAAAAAATAAGTACATTTAAATGTCCGTCATGCATTGCTACTTACCAGTGTTAACAGTAGTTTTGTGTTCGTTTGTTGTAACCATGAATTACGGTAACATTTAACTTTTGATGCTGATAAATTCGAATTCAAATAAAAACTTTTATCCATTTTTGCAGAAAGTTTCTATGGCACGTATGCTGCTGTTGCTTGACGCCAGCTGCTGCTTCTGATTCGTCGCTTCAATTGTGGAGGAAACTGATGGGGCCGATGCTTGTGCTTGTGATCCAAATATTGTTGATGTGCTTGTTCTATAGTATTCCAACTGATGTTGTTATTCTTGTTGTTGTTGTTGTTAAATGGACAATAAAGAGCAGTGGTAGTGGTGGTAGTAGTTGTTGTTGTACTTGTTGTTAGCCTTGATGACTGTACTTGTCGCTGATGCAATGTTGGTGGACAATAATGCCCGTAAGCCATACCAGCATCTAACATTTTACCATCGTAAAGGACATTGAATCGAAATCATTATAATAACGTCCTTTGTGTTCTTGGGCAAGTACTTTTGTAGTTGTCTCCAATCAATCGATGTGTGTTAAAGCACTTTTACTTTATGAAGTTTTTTACTTTAAACTTTTCCCAACTCAACTGACACTTGGTGCAAGGAAATCTGAAAAGAAAAAGAAAGAAATCATGAAAATACAATAAAATCGAAATCTGCGGAAAAAGGCAATGATATTTTTGAGATGAAAAAATCATATGTTTTTGTACCCTCCGCTATACTATACTAGGGTATATGAAGTTTGCCATTCCGTTTGTAAAACTTCGAAATATACATTTTAGGTACCACAAAGTAAATATATTCTTGTTCAGCATAAAATTCTATAGCGATTTAGCGATGTCCGTCCGTCTGTCCGTCTGTGGAAATCACTCTAGCTACCGACGAAGTGAAGTAGGTTGATAAAATTTTTCTCACATATATATATATGACTTTTGGTATTGAGAATGGGTCATGTAGGTCCACGTTTTGGTATAGCCTCCATGTAATGGTGCCTCCCTATTTTCGATTTTTTGGTAATTTAAGCGATATTATAAACCGGAAATGTTTCAAATTTGGTATTTGAAGTTCGTAATTGATACTACAGCCTATGACAAAGAATTGTCTGTGAAGGTCCACGTATTGATATAGCCCTCACATAATGGTACCTCCCGATATTCCATATTTTGATGATTTTAGCTACATTATTCACCGATTTTTTCAAATTTCGCCTTAGAATAATGCAATGGCTTATGACAAAACTGTCCTATGCAGCTCCACGTCGTCGTATACCAACATCAGACTGCTGTAGTTTCCCAACCACTCGTCCGACAGCTATAAAAATTCTTCCAGTGACAACTCGTTATATTGTTTACAAGTGTACAAAAGCATTTTGGAGAGAATTTTCCAGCAAAAAAAGTTATTCGTGATAGAAGCGTGATAGTGTGATTTCTTTATATTTGGCTGAAAAACCACATGTGGCTATCGTAAGAACACTCCAGCATTTAAATGTGAATAAATCTTTTGTGTCTCGTATCATCGCTCGTTACCGTGATACTGATAGCGTAGCCCGACGGAAGAAAACAGCAACATCAGCAGAAATGGTTCGAAAAGTAAAGAAGCGACTTGATCGAAACCCGCGTCGCAGTGGCAGGAAATGGCTCGTGAGCTGAACATGTCGCAATATTCCATTCGGCAAATATTGAAAAATGAGCTCGTCGTAAAGCCATTGAAATTCCAAAAAGTGTAAGAACTTACATCGGAACAGAAAAAAATAGACTCAAAGAGCTAAAGAGTTGTTTCGTTTTCTCCGATGAAAAATCATTTGTTGTACAGCAGTTTGTAAACAAACAAAATTATTGTGTTTACTTGCCAAAGAGGTTAGCAGAAAATGTGCACATTCGGTTGTCCACCAAAACTCAAGCGCCGGCCATGGTGAAGGTGTGGGCCGCCATTTTGGCCGCAGACCTTGACATTCCAATAGGACTTAGCACCATCACACACAGAACGCGCTACCCAAGAGTGGTAACAAAATGAGGTTCCTCGTATATGTCGACATTTTCGTATAGACGCCTACAACCGTACCTCCCGACATTCGGTGTTTTTATGATTTTTGCAACATTTTTCAACGGATTTGTCTAATAAATGGCATTTGTTGTTTGTAATGGGCTCCAGCTTCGGTTGCAGAACATTTGTTATATAGATCCACGTTTTCGTATAGCTCTCATATAACGGTACACTCCGTTTTTCATTATTTTTATGGTTTTAGCCACATTTTCCCTCGGATTTGTCCAAAAATTGGTATTTATAGTTCGTTCTAGGTTCTAGCTCCGGTTTTCGAATATTGAATATTTAGGTCCACGTTTCCCTTTACATATAACGGTACCTTTGGATATTCGGTATTTTGACGATTTACGCCATATTTATGCCCTCTTCCATACTATGGTTCGGCCCGGCCCGGCCGAACTTATAGCTTTTTACTTTTTTCTAATAGGTTTGTGTGAGTGTGATTTGAAATATATATACCGATGTTCGGTGATTTGATAATCCTAATCCGTAATTGTGTCAAATTTTGTACTTAAAACTAGCAATATATTGCAATCTTTGTGGTATAAAAATATATATATGGCCTCTCGTTTTGGTATGACCCATTATAACGGCTCCAAACCCTACATTGCTTTTTTACCTCTAACTGCATTTTAGTAGTAGTTTTAAATCAATTGAAATAAAATTCCCCAATTCTTCTAAATCCCAATTATTCAACTTTCAGTTTCGACTTAAATTTTTTTAATAATCATAACCAAATGACATTGGCTTAAATATAATCTAATCATCTGTTTATATAAAGATAAATGAGCCAAAACAAAAATTAACACCAACAGAAGATGAAATAATGTCCAAATACAAAACAGAAGAGAGGAGGCGAAAAGTGCTAAAACTAAATGTTATGGAAAGAAAATTGTATCTGCAAAGTTGGAATTAATGCCGACACGCCAATCAGAGGTCATTGGGCGCAAAATAAAAACAGTCTTCCAGACAAATAAATGGACAAATCCAACATATTTCAAACAGCTGGAAGGTCAGACAATGAATTTAAGATGGAATAATGCAGCGCGCAGCGGTTACTGTTGTTGGATGGAATCTTAAAGTTGATAAAGCAAACAATGAGTCAACAATATTAAGATGAAAGTATTGAAAAGCAGATTTTGATGGACTTAAAGAGTTAGTATTAGAATGGGTTTAATTTATTTTGAAAACTAGTAAAGTTAATGCTAGGTTTTAAGGAAAAATCCACTTTAATTTGCAATATGCGTTCTTGTAAAGCGATTTAACATTATATAATGGTCTTTATTTATATAGAGCTCTGAAATACTTTCTTATCCGAAGAGCCCATATAAAAGTCGACCAAGGCGATCGGCCGAGAATATCGCTGCCGTACGAGCCAGTGTTGAGAGGTCCCCAAGAACATCCCAAAAACGCCGTTTTCAGCAGTTGGGCATGGCTCGGTCCACTTTACAACGGATTATTCGCATTGATTTGGGGTTAGTAGTTAAAGACCTAAATAGTCCCTAATTTCTCTGGAAAATTAGCTATACAGGGTGAGATGAAAAAACTGCAACTGTACAAAGCATTTTCTTGAAAATTGTCCAGAAAAAAAGTTATTCGCGTGGCTGGAAAACCACAATTGGCTATCGTTAGAGCATAAATCTTTTGTGTCTCGTACCATTGCTCGTTACCGTGATACTGGTAGTGTAGCCCGACGTAAAGTAAGTGGACGGAGGAAAACAGCAACATCAGCGGAAATGGTTCGAAAATAAAGAAGCGACTTGATCGAAACCCGCATCGCAGTGGCCGAAAAATGGCTCGAGAGTTGAACGTATCGCAATATTCTATTCGCCAAATTTTGAAAAATGAGCTAGAAGTAAGGCAATGAGATTTCCACAAAGTGCAAGAACTTACACCGCAACATTTCCATCACACAATGGCCACAAAAATCTCCGGATACCAATTCGTTGCACTCTTGTGTCTGGAGTATTAGTGCCAATGGAAAGCAAGTTTTGCACTAAAAAAAACCAAAGTGTCGATCACCTCAAGTAAGCGCTTCACCGAGAATGGGCCGAAATACCGCAGAGCAACATTCGGGCAGCGTGTGGCGGTTTCATTGGCCGTTTGAAGGCCATAATTCGTGCCAAAGGTGACTAATTCGAATAAATCTAAACTTATTCTAAAATTTTATGCTACTTCCGACATTTTTTGTTTTCATTCAATAATATTTAAAAAAATATATATAAAAATTATGGCGTTTGACTTTATTGCTGTTTTTTATCTCACCCTGTATATCCAATCTTCACACCTGATCTTGTGTTAATAAAAATATGGGCGTCCGTAAAATTTAAAAAGAATCGTATGCTGACATCACATTTTATGAGAATTATTATTATTCTAAATATTGACCCGTTTGGGGCGGGGCTACCTGATACTTTAAAGCAGATCTTATGTTGGTAATAATATTGAGATGTTCGAAATTTTTTAATCAATCGGACTAACATTTCACATTTTATAAGAGTTATAATTATTCAAACATTTTACCATTTGTAGAGGGAGTACTAGAAGGAGTGGACCGATATTGTCCATTTTCGCACAGGACTTAGCTCTGATAAAAATATTAGGATTTGCAAAGTTTGGCCAAAATTTGTTTGACATAGCTCTGATAAAAATATTAGGATTTATAAATTTTGCCCAAAATTTGGATGACCCTTCCCTGTTCTATAAGGCAAATTATTTTCTATGAAATTTTTGATTTTTTGTGGGGTGGCACCAGTATAAGTGAACCGATATTGTCCATCTCGGAACTTCATCTAACTTTTATAATAATATTACGATGTACCAAGTTAGGATAATAATCACTAGACTCTTAATGTCCTGAAACGGATTTGGTCCAAAGAGACCTAGGGTCTTTAACCATTATTGCGATGAGCCACGTTTTGGCCGCATCCAATGATCTCTGTAGCTACATGGTTGTGGAAATAATTAACCTAACAGAAACAAAGAAACAGCCCGCACCTTACATCACATAACAAATTCTTACAACACAACAACAAACGTAAAAAGCAAAAAAAAATACTCCAGCATCCTCCTCATTTAGCTTTGAAAACTTTGTTGCATGGAAACACACAAATACAAGATGTTACGTTACCATTAAAATTATACAGCTGCACTCGGCGAGTCTTCAATTTCGTATCAGGGCAATTTTCTTGCATTTCACTTTCAACCTTAACTAAATACTGCTACTGAACATCCATGCCATCCATTTAATTGACTTTACCTTATGTGGGTACACAGACACTTGTACATCGCCATCACACCCACATCCATTTATTGTGCGCTCACACACACACACACACACACACACACACTCATAAGTCGATGTCTTCATGTCGTAATTAAGTTGCTGGATGTGTCGTCATTGGCACGTAAGTATAATTTAATGCTTCCTTTTATCTTTATTTAGTTTATACCGCACACTTTTTTCATTCTTCTTTGTTTTATGTTTTGCTAATTGAAAGCATCTTTTGGTGGTTTCTCCACAACGTGAAAGTTTATTAGTAAGTCTTCAGGTGAGAAAGTGAAGC